GTCAAAATACATAATCTGGGATTCTCATTAATTGTGAATGTTATTGCCTTTCTTGTTGTTTTACCGTATTCCGTGATTGAATTGTTGTTGTATAATTGTTGTTTTATTATAGTTGTTATCTTTTTGAAGTTAAGTTTTGCTAAATATGGACGATTCCGGTGCAGATCCGAATGGCCTACAACAATTACCTCTGACATTTCAGGAAGTTTTTCCAATATGTTAATCAATAATCTAATAATATCTGAATAAATGTTATAAAAGTAATAATAAAAATTTCATTTTGTTTACCTTTCATTCCTTGGTATAAATATTACAAAATTCTGTTCTAGTGAATACACTTACAATTAGAATTTATATATAAAACAATAGATAGATAGTTATAGTTCCATATTAGCTTGGGAGCAAAAGATGAATTTAGAAAATTCTAGCCTCATCGCAAAAGAAAATGGAAAATTGTCTAACTCTTTCAGACTACCTAACGTTCAAAGTTTCAACAAAACTATTACATATATTAATAAAATTTATCTTGAAAATAAAATGTTCTGCACTGCTGCTTCTGTGATCTTCTTTTTTCTAATGTTATAATGAATGGAGTATAGATAGTTAACCGTTGTCGAACTGTTTCCAGGGAGCACTATAGAGAGGTCGTCTACACTGCGTAGTATAATAATAGAGCTTTTATATCACCCAAAAGTGTTGGTTCGATAGGGCCTGTCACACACGCACAATAAAAAGTCAGGTGGTTTGGATTGTTAACGCACCAGCTGAAAGTCACTGTTTTTGTTTGAACAGCGAACGCATAATGTTAATGGTCTGTGCATATCTGATGGCATACTAACGCATATTTCCTTAAGTAAAGTCTGACGGAAGTATGCGTCTTCATGTCATAGAATAATCGTTTAAATGTGAAGGTTTATTTATAAATTTAGAAACCACTCGCTTCGCTAATGGCCGCCGCTCCATATGCCATGATGGTTTCCAATGTACTTGTTTCGTATACGTAAGTACTATAGCACACTGAATGCCAGAATTTATTAAAATATGTTTTCTTTGAAAAAGGAAAATTGTCTTAAGTTTTGCGAGGGAAATCTCTGACTCAGCTGCCGCTGTTTTAAATGTGTTTTAAATGTCGAAATACGTGATTGTTGGTTTCCTAACAATGTTATGAGTTTTATAACAAACAGGTGTCTGGCATTAGTTTCGCCTATTGTCTAAATTCCAATTGTCCAAAAGCTGGTCCGCAATCAGTGTCGGCCCATTGTTTTTAACATTACATTTTCCTTATGAAATTGTATCTGTGAATTAGGTGTCCGACGCAACAATTAATTTATTAATTAAATATGCACAAACAAGTACTGATATGAGATGTGTTTCATCAAATAAATGCTATTGTTAAGAAACAAGTATACAAACGAATCATATACCTCATACAAGTAATACAATGATGAGAACATCCAATCTTTACTACGTTCACATGTAACATGGTCTATTAACCTTGCCATTTACATATACAGTAATCCTTAGAATACGGACAGATCATCTCATGATATAATTTTTCTTACACGAGCAATATATAGTAGAACCACAATATCGATACTATATCGGAATGATAAAAACCAATAATTTTGTAACGATTAAATTACGAAAAAAATACATTGCTTAGATCTCAAGCTATGGAAATCTAAAAAAAAATAAGGTATTCCAGATAAAAAGAAATATAGGTCTACGCTGCTAGTTCTTGGAAGTATAAGGGCACAAGGGAAGATTCAGGGGAGAGGTAACCAAGTGTCTTAATTTATTTGTAATGCCATGAAATGATTTCTCTAAAATGCATTATCTTGACAGGGACTCGACTTTGTGACGCCTCTGATTTGACAGCAGCACTCATAAATGGACGTCGACTTAGTGACCCGCAGTAACTTGAAGGCTGAATCTACCCTCGTAAGGCTATCCCACGTGTATTAGAGTTCAATTAAACAGTTACATAATCCCTTATTTAAATTGATTATGAATAATTGTTGATGTTGTAGAAATTGATTGTTTACTTTGAAGAAATTCATTATTTTTACTATTTATAACCGCGAAGAATCGTTTAGCTGCTATCTAGTGCAGTAAAATTGAGTAACGGCCGAGGACGTTAACGTTGGTGCGTCGCGTCGCGTTGGTCTCCGCTGTGGTGCAAGCTGGGTGCCATTGTGCGCGAACAATGGGGAAAGCAAAGCATACCATGGTGCTGCTAGCTATTGAGGCTAGGAAATCAACGATAAATAAGAGAATTCCTGCATGAATATTACATTAAAAGTAAAAACATCTACGCTCTAGAACTATTTAACTATTTATACTGGGTTACGTTGGGCTTAGGCATTGCCCAAAGAGGAAGTATTCTTGTTTTCTTGATGAAAGTAAGTAAATGAATTTTCAAAACTGAATAAGCAATTCATATTCTATTTGCGCTTTTTCACATTTGTATTGATATCTAAGTTTCGAACTTTGCTAATTTCAGTTTTTTAATATGTTAGTTAAAAGGAACGGCAATGACTATCATTGGTTCATTCGTTTCCTGCACAAATCAACTTTTGGTAGAGTCGCCATCTAGTGAAGTGTAATTTGAGTGCTTTTTTCTTTCTTAAAATACTTCCTCATTGGCAAGAATAGTGCTGCTGACTTTTGAGAATCGATGACACTATAGTAGCCTTTGGGTACATACAAAAAAGGGTTATAAGTGATTATAAGTTAAATTAATAATGTTGTAAAATAAAAGATGTGTTTATTAGGGACTGACAACTTAATTTTGAGTTTATCATTAATTAGAGATTACAAATAGAGTTTATTCTCTTTCAGCCTGTTGTCCCTTTCAAGCCTATGGTAAATACGTCCATACTTGGTTCACCTAGCTGTGTTACCTATCGCAAATCTTATGGCCACACAACCTATTTCGTTTATTTCACTGCATGCTATTGTCGTGCTTTTAAAAAATCCGCATCCGCGTATGTTGAACGAAACAATAAAATTAAGGGCACCGTTATGGTAACAATAAATACTAACATTATATTCGTACACGAGCTCTAGGAAGTTCCTATTACCTTAATTGCAGTAGGTATGGATTAAATAAAAATAATATGTTGTAAGCGTAATATGTTATAATCATATATTATATACATACTTAGGAAAAATGTGTACTTAATCAGTGCTAAACAAATATTAATATTGTTTTCGTTACGGTTTTAAATATATATAATAGTACGTATACTGTTTTGTATGTACACGATTTTTTTCTCTTTTGTACCTTAGCAGGATAATCGAAGGTTAAATAAAAATATGTCTTTAAACACGTTGCTACTTAAATATTATTATATTCCCCCAGTTTGTTTACTAACTTACCTATATAATATTATGAAATGAAATGAAAATAAAATGAAATGAACTGAAATGAAAATATCTTTATTCAAGTAGGCTATTACAAGCACTTTTGAATCGTCCAAAAAAAACTTTTTTCCCCTACCACTTGTTCAGGACGTCTTTTAGCTGACAAGAAGAACAAGCGAAAGAAACTTATCAGCTTTTTATCATAAGTAATGACATTTACATAAATCATGTCATTACCAAAATAATATGTATTATCAATTTATCACAATAGTAAATACAACTTTCAAAGTCTGTAGGACATAAGTTGAACATATAATTAGTCTTTATAGAACAAAGCGAAGGCTATTAATTCCATGCATAATTGGTTTTATTGGTTTACACTATCATAAGTACTATTAAAATATCAAATCAGAAAAAAAAGTTTGAAGATAAAGGAGGATGACGTAAGTTGGTCAGAGATGTGATTAAATTAATCATAAAGTCCACGAGTACGACCCTCAGAAGTGAGCGAGGAAAACGATGCAAAGAGGATGCTTATAAATGTTTCCAGCAAGATAAAACAATAGTAATAATTTAATATACATTAAATTATTACAATTGAAACCAATGGTTTTAACGGGAACGTGCAACGACGAGATCACCGCTTTAATCAAGAGCAAAATGATTTTATTTGAGTTATATAATAATAAAAGCTTGTGTAGGCGCTTTAGTCACAGATACAATAATAAACAGCTTCGTTAGAGAAAATAAATTGTAAATTTACAGTGCTGCTTATAAACAAGGTTTAGCGTTGGAGTAAATTTACGCTGAGACTGCTCTTTGTATTAGTCAGAATTCATATTATTAAACAGAGACTTAACAAAGGTTAACTTAGTACGAGGTTCTACGGGAGTAATATTTGCTCCTAGAAGGTAGTAGATTTGATATTCTCTGTGTAATATGAATATGGACTAATACTAAAATTGCAATTTTAGCGTAAATTTGCTCCGACGTTAAACCTTGTTTATAAGTAGCATTGTTAAAAATTATGTCTGTACATAGATATGTAAAACAAAACAATGATTCGTTGATGTCTTTTTAACACTGTTGTAAGAAAGATGCGAAAGACTTCAACGATATTGAAGTTTTCCGAAGCAATTTAATTGATTTTGTTATTGTCAGAAATCAACATATTAAAATAAAGTAGTCACTATTGTTTGATGAAAAAGGAACGTAGAAATGAACACAGAAAATGTAATAAAAATTAATCATCAAAATGGAAAGAAAATAAACTATTTTTTTTTTCATGGTGATACCATATCTTATAACCAAATTTGCACAGAATTTAAATCGTATACGGTTTTATTTTACACAGTTATGAAATTTTACAAGTAATAATGCTACCGTAAAATAATTCAACAAATAAATTAAATAGGAATGCCCGTTTTCTGGTTCAAAACTTGGGAAAATAGGTCTCTACTGTATTTTGACGTAACTCGTCATGATACAGACGCAATCTACAAATAACAAAATGAAAACGATTGTTGGTTCAACGGTGTAAAAATATAGTCAGTAGTCCTTTTTGCGATGGTCGGGCAACATCGATTCGATATCATTCATTCATTTCTGTGATTGTTTCAATCTTCCATTCACTCACTCACTCATTGGGCTTGTGCTGAGTGGGTGTGATCGTCTTGTACAAAAGTTATTAAATAATCTAGTTACAAATCAATAAAGATTACTTATGTTTACAACTTGAAATATGTACCAAGGTGACGTATTATACTGTGAAGTGTTCAAAGTGACGTACAATTAGAATAACGATTAAGGTAACTGAAGATGTTCTCCTAAGACAAAAGGCTTCGTCCTTCACACATTAGCTAGAGCATCATTGTTTAAACAGTTTGTTATCTGCACGTCGCCGATGGTACTAGATGGTGATTATAGAAATGCTAACGATGTTACACTGCACGTAAGTACACACCTACGTAATACAAGAGCCTGTCGTGCTCTCGAATTAGTTCCAACAAGACTATAATTATTAAGTAACTACTAACTTATTTTCCTTCTCGTATATGGTGGTGGGCTATCGCTTCTGTAACATACGACGCGAAATAAGGTGTCTGCTTACTAATGGGTCGTAAATCATGGCTAACGTTAAGAATAAAGTAAAAACTTCACAAAACAAACCGAAAAGAGGTCGAATTTCAAACAAAAATAAATCATCCGATGTAAATAATGCTATTGAATCCGTTACAGTCATGAAAAGGCCCAGCAAACTGTCACTTCTCACCCCTGAAGAAAAAGTGCAATATTTATTTAAAAATGGTCATCTAATTAAAGATAAATTTATACGTAAAGCCCCACTGAACAATGGAAAAATTGATAAAAGCTCTTTACCCATAACCAAAAATAGTTTAGTATCCAAAAGTGGAAGGATTAGAAAGAAATGTATGGACAACATAAGGCTGTTTGATAACATACTGAAAACAGAACTTATGATTGACGATTCTCAAAAGAAAAAGAAACTGACCAAGGTCAAGTCACCTGCCAACAACAACAATGATGATTTAAGTGATCACAATATTGATTGGGAGCTTGCAGTATTAGATCCATCTAACCTTCCAACTGTTTTTAATGATCTTAAAAAGCCAAAACCAAAGAAGAAGCCAGTGAAATATATACCAAAAAGATCCAAACAGGTTACAGCTTGTGCTCAAAAACTTCAGTGCGATTACTGTGCCAGAATGTTTGATACAAAGACATCTATAAGGAGACACATTTACGGGCACCTCAATCTAAAGCCTCACAAATGCCCTCATTGTCCTAAAAAATTCAGATATGTAACAAAAATTCAAGAACATATAACACAAGAACATGATGATACAATTAGAAACTTCATATGTGATATATGCGGTCAATACTACCTTTCAAAAAAGAATTACAACATGCACTTAGCAACTCATATGCGCAGTGACGATGAATATAAATGTTTATTTTGTGAGGATACATTTGGCCAATATTCAGCGCTGATAAAACATGAAAAGCAACACTTGGTAACGGGTCGTTACATATGCACAATATGTAAAATGAGTTATACATGCCGTGATCATCTCTCTATGCATCTTAAAGGGCATCTCAAGATAAAAGAGTTCATATGTCAATTTTGTGGTAAAGAGTTCTTGAGATCAAATTCCATGCAGAGACATGTGTTGGTATGTCATGCTGGACATAGAATAAAATGTCCGATATGCAAAAAAGAGTTAAAAGGCCATCTAACTGAACATATGAGAACTCATGAAAAGAAACGACCTCATAAGTGCCCTGAATGTGGTCAACGTTTCACACAGTCCACCCAGTTAAATGTACACAGACGATCACATACCGGAGCTCGACCTTATCCATGTAGGATTTGTAATCATCGCTTTTCTCATTCAAACGCTTTAATGCTCCATATCAGACGTCATACTGGAGAAAAACCTTTCCCTTGTGCTATGTGTCCACTTAGATTCTCCCAATTGCCACATATGAAAGCTCACATGAGAACAATACATGGCAAAGAAAATGCATACAAATGCAAAAAGTGTGAGCAGTTTTTTAAATTGAAAGTTGACTTAGAAAATCATGTAAAGAACTGCACAGTTGGTGACAAAGAATTGAGTTATGAAGAACAAATCGAAGAGTCCATTAAATTTGAAGAAATTGAAGTTGAATCAGCGATGAGTCTGTCTCGAATGAGGTACCTTCTAGCTCTGCTGTTGACTATGATCGCCAGCAAAGACAAACTGAAGTACTTAGGTGCGTAATTTTTTTATTGATATTTTTTGAGTTTTTACACTTTCTCATACTCAATTGCACTCTTTTTTAGTGTGAAAACATGCTTCCTGTGTGTTTGCCAGTAACAGGAACCCATTGTGGAAGTGTCAACATATTCATAATCATTATCAAAGTATATTATCAACAAAAGATAAAATAAAAGCTTATCAATAGTGTTATTCACCTACATTAGACATCAACGGGTTTTCATACCTAAAATAATAAAGCCACTATAACATGTTTGAACAATAAACTAATTAATGCACTGTCATTAAGGATTTACAAGTGTGGTATTCTCATTAGTAAAACAATATGCAAAACTTAGTTGACAATATTCATAGCAGTTTATTAATATTCAAATACATGCATACAAGGCTTGAAGTTGACATTGTTTTTTTTTATAATTAAATGTAAGGAATGAAAGTGAGGTTTTATAAGTAGAGTTACATATAGGATTGTTTTCATTTACAGATGGAATTTATTGTCGCCTTGGTTGACGTTACTGATAAGCATTTTGTTTGAATAGTGAAACGCTTATCGGATATTTTATTTGGTTTGATTCCTACAGAAAACCAAACTGTTTATTACAAAACTTTTTTTTTGATCATACTCTTTGGTGTTAGTCCAAGAATTGTTAGACATTTTTTTAAAGTATTTGAGGCATTATAAAATCTTTTAAAATAGCTTGTTATAATATCTGAACACTAAACATGTAGACCTGACAGAAGGTAATGCAATTTAATTATATAATTCAAGGTCAAAGGTCACAACAATCATTTTCAATCATTCTGCAATTCTTTTGTCTTCACATATTAAGTTTAGACTGATAAACAATACAAAGCTTTCATCCATATACTCTTTAAAAGTTAGTTGTTTTCCCGCGACTCCACCCGCGTAAATTATCCTAGGATTATATATTATTATATAGCTACGTGAAGGTGAAAAGCTGAGCGCATAAAAATGTTTCAAACAAAATTTGCCTCAAATTCAATTCACCACAATTTCTTAATAAGGCTATAATATCATTGGGAAGATCGAAACCGAGATAATAATTCAAAAAATGATTTGTGACCTTTCACCTTGGATAACTTAACCAAATGCCATTAATGATTTTAAAGTATAATTAATTTAAAATTTAAGCTATTTTTATTATGTTCAATTCAGTTGTGTTTTTATATTATCTTTAACATCTATTGGGTTTTGAAGTGATATTTTTGTGAGTGTCTGCTTTTTGTGACGTGCAGCATTTCCTCAGATCATATCCTATTATCAACGGAGCTTTATCATCCTGGTTTTTATTTTAGCCAATGTTTTTGTTAATTTAAGCAGCAGTTGCCGACGAGTTACATCGTGATGTCATTGGTAATGTCAAGAGAGTGAGTTCATCTCCATTATGTTGTTAATTTGTGGTGCTGGTCGGTGATGGTGGGGCTGGATATCGATTTGGGGAGTGGATTTAATTTTAAGCGAAAATTTATATTCGGCTTTGTATATGGTGGTGGCTGGTTAATGAAGTATCCGGTCTGAAGTCTTTATATACACACACCATCACATTAGGTTAACACAATAGGCCAAGTGTCTGCAATTAATTTTGTCGTTAACTGTCACAGATTAAGAAAGACTTAAAATATTTGGCCTTTTGTAGTAACTTGACGTGCTGCCGTCTGTGCCGTTTATCAAGAAAGTCCATATTTATTAAAGATGTACATATTTTTACATAGCTTTAGATTAAATTGTAAATAGTACATACAGTTTATAAAAAAATTGCTCTCAAAATAAAATAGTTTAATGGTAATAATCACATATTTGTAATTATAAACCAATAGAATTTATTCTGTACATAATCAAAATAGAATAACATAATTCAAATATATTTTGACAATTTACTAATATATCATATTTTTACAACAGGTTTCAACAAACGGCTAATAGACGAATTACTGCTAGAATCTCTCGAGGCTATGGGCATTAAGCCATGCAAAGATGAATCTCTGACACCAATAAGACGTCTTAAAACTAACATCGAAATGTTACTTAATGGAACTGTGCCCAAAGAACAGATGGAAAAATTAAAAAATGAAAATAAGTCCACAGAAGAAATTTTGGAACTACTAACTGATGAGAAGAAAACTGAGTAAAATGACTATTTATCATACCATTTAGAGTTATATAAAATATTGAAGTCATATAGGACGTACACACAGAAGCACATAAGGTTACACAAGTCTTATATTTTTTACAATTAATTCTGAACTTATCTACCAACAAATTAAGACTGAAAATCAATTGGAGACTGTAAGCCAACGTGTAAATGTTTTTCTTCTTATTATCATTGCGTCTAAGATCTTTATATAGGGTTATTAGTAAAACATCAGCGACCTCGCAGGACTAGGTCTCATCACAAACAATAACGTTTCATTTACGAGTTTAACAAGAATTCAATACTTTCAACTCATATATTTGTTGTCAAATTTTTATTGTGCTGCTATAACATTTGTAAGTCTATGTCTTATTCATCAAATTTTTGTTTGATTTATAAACGACAGGATTGAGACGTTATGCTCGCGCACTGAGTTGTGAGTACTGTATAATAAATAAGGTCTACTGTCGGCCACATAAGACTACTGTTATTGATCGCAAAAAGCCAACTGAAATAGGTTCTCATTTCATTACCGTGTCTTTACTAATAAGCAAGTGCAGAACTGCAATTGAAACGGATAATATGTAGTTGACTTTTAGCACTGTAGCGGTAAAAAATAATGGGTTTTATTCGAAAACAGTATCTGGATGCGTGCGTTGGATCTGTAAATTAAATGAAAATTTATTTTTGTATGAAAGTAAAATGTAACGAGTTATCAAACGTCATAGAACAGGCGTTGTTATTAATAATGTTAGCTATCTACTTTTTCAAGGTTAATTAGATTTTTTTCAAATAACCCTGTATATGTGACCTTAAAATTGTAAGTAAAATCTTACTAGAATTGTAACCATCTAAAATTATTGTGATCCTAGTAAGACTATAAACTGATGTTGCAATCACAATTTTTCGATGAAATTCTTTATTACGTTTGCTAGATATCAACACAATGGTTTTTCCGTGACTACTTGTATAAATGCCGTAGCGTGTGAATAATCAACGATAAACCTCCTCCCAACTGATCCGCGACGGTGGCTCCCTCTCGATAATAATTCAGTGTCGTTCATCAAGAAAAGCAGTGCTTTGAATGTTTAATAAGTATTTATTAAACACTTGTGTGTTTGAAATATTTATAAGCAACAGTTATTTAATAAGCAATACAATATGTTTAAGTGCTTTCATGTAAGCGAGTAATATATAGACGTGAAAAAAGTTGCAAATATTTTGGTGACAATATTTGTATTTACTCTGAGACATTACAGACTTTGGTGCAAAAGTCGAATAATAAGGTTTCCTTCTCATATTAAAATTTAAGGTTCGGCGGTAGTTTGCATGTAGTACTCACTTTAATAAACCTTAAGACTACCATAGCCTTTGCGATATAATATTGAATACATTTCATAGTTTGAAATATTTAGAATAACAATTTAGCAGAATTACTATTTAGGGAATATAGTGTTACAACTATTTATTATGCATGTGTCATTCATATCATTATTTTATATTTATTAATCACTTTATGCATAACATCACTATTATAGTATGTATCGGTAAATGTTGGCGCTGTGAGCGCTGTAGAAATACGTGTCATACTTAAATTATAAACAAGTCGTAGTAACAATTATTTTGTAATTATGTGAAAATAATTATATAATTTATATAAGTAGTGTTTTTGAAATCGACATTTTGGCAAAATTTAAACCTATTTAATTTGCTAACATATTATGTGGGGTATATAGGTCAAATTCGGTCAATCTTAAAATTTACTTTCTTCGAAGTAGTTCTTAAAAACATATCCTAATTCTTTAATGATTAACTTTACTAGTAAATGTGTTTTTGTATCTGATAAGAGGAATCAAAAAGTCATATAATTTATATTAATGCTTATATGAGCAATTTGATACATATATTTATTAAAATTAAACATACTGGCAAATACAGATATCTTTACATAAGAATCCTAAGATATTCATGAAGAAAGCTAACTGACAATTACATGTGATTCTTATTCCTTAAAAATAGAATCGTAAATATTTTTCGATATATCTTGCAATTTGGAACTCTATGCATACGAAACAAGATACCTATGTAACTGTCAATGAGAAAAATCCTCATTTTCTTTTCAAGTTTCAATATAACCGTGATTGATTATATATATAAAACACTTGCCAATATAAAGTGATTGCGTAATCCAAAGATAATTCGTATTTTGTTTTGCATTTGTCATTTTATGTTATTGTATATTTTGGCATTCCTTTTTATATTACAAGGTATGTTTGTGCCATTGAATTGTTATAGGAGAAATTTGGACGTTATCGTGAAAGATATTTTTAACCGTTATTTTACTAAATATTTATTATTATTGTAACATATATATTGAAACATTTAGGTTTGATTGCACTTATAAATTACATTCACTTTTTAAAATAATTATCTCGCATCTGTCTTCTCGGTTATTGGTTTTTGAATAGTTTTAAACGTATAATTAATTTTTACAAATAATTCTGTTACGTTTTTGAACCAGTGCCATCATTTAGAATTATTATCAAAAATATTTACTATATCTAAGTTTCTAAATAACTATTGAAAGGTTTAGATATTTAGGTGTACGTCAAGGTAACAGGCACACCAACGAGCTTGATTTAGTGTCACTAATTATATGATTCGTAGCATATAATTAGTGACACTAAATCAAGAGATATTGGAAGCAGAGGTGTACAAAACGACTAAAAATCATTAACGCGCTATAGACTAATTATATTTTTTTAACGTGTTAATGAAGACGCTCATTTATTAACACGTTAATTCAAAGAAGTGTAAGGGTGCGTGAAGACTCGTAAAATTTTGTAGCATGCTAAACCTTGTAACACGTTAATTATTTTATGTTGTACGTTCAATAGATTCTGTGCTATATTAAATAATAACTCATTATTATTTAGTCTAAATAGTTCGAAATAAAATAAGGCTTTGGACAGTCTATAATTCAATTATAGGCGTATTTAAAAGTTCATTGATTTTTATCTTAGAATCTACTATATAAATTTGCTATCATATATTTTATTCACATTATTTACTCACAATATAATTGTTTTAAAGAATCGTTTACAATTTTTATACACACAAAAATTTCTTTACGCGTACACAGAACAACACATAATCACCCTTCTAATCTAAAGTATTTCATTGTTAAAATACAGGAGATAGGATCACGCGTAATAATTACCTACCGAGCATGTTCCGCGTGCTCCGAGCATTAGCAATAACACGTCTGCCAACGATCGCGCTCACGCGTGAACGTCCGCGGTCTAGTTTCGTTCGATTGTCGGTCGTTGAATCGTTTTGGAAATTCACGTGTGAATCGTGTTAGCGCGTGAAATTTTTAGCGCCTTCGTATATACATACTTAGCAGTGTTAATCGTTAAGAGAGAAAAGCGTGTTAATTAGCACGTTGGGCGCTAATTTAACCACCATTAATTGGAAGTTCTTAGTGTGCATGCCTTAGTGGCCTAACTAGACGTGTCATAGCATGTCAAAAAGACATGTAATTCAAACTAATACGGATCGTATTTCTAGTGTGCCTGCTGCTTAGACGTCTATTTAGCAGGTACATTTATTGACATACATTCGACCCTCAAACTGGTTGGTGTGCTTGCTACCTTGACGTTCACATATTTAGAAGTAAGAGACATAACTATAATTATGTATGTAAGTTAGTACAGTACATATATATATATTAAAGAAAAGTTTAATTGAAAACGTACTGTTACGAATGATGTATTGTTTAAACATTCATCAGCTCTCATTTATTGAAGATATTTAGTGCAAACCATCTCGAATGCCCCTCTATAAATAGTTCTTATGTGTGATATAAATACAATCGAGTTTTTATTGAATTAGCAGTACCTAGAACCATCCTATTTTGAATTGAGATGTTTTAAGGTTTTGCTCTGTTCATATAGAACTCAATTTAACCTCTTGGTTAAGTCTTGCCATAAAAAAATATCATTGGGGGAATACGATATTACTGTATCGATGGTAATATTTTCTATAGTAAACTTATTATAAATATGTATACGGTAAAATTCACTAATATATCAATGTAAAGTTTACACAAAATTTTCAACTATATATGTAGACATTGGGTGAGATAGGGCCTGTCTTGGTTTTTGTTAAGTCCGAATATTCTTATTTCACCTCTTGAATCAATCTAACTATATATTTATAATATTAAAGTATATCCCTGTATTGTATTCGGATCATGTAGTTGCTTATATGTATTTTGTAGAGTTGTGTAAGTGAAATTGTTGGCATTGATTTTGTTGTGCTATCAAATCTATTGCATCTTTAGAATATAATACACCTTTATTAATATTTGATGGATAGGTTAATATGATAGGGTGATAAAAACATTTTTATAAACATATTTAATTTCCACCTTATGTTCATTGTTTTGAGGACCTTTAATAGTTTGAGTTCAAGTTGAAATAGTAGGTAAAATAGTAATTGAGTGTATAACAGAATTGAGCCCAATATAAGTTTCGTTTTAGAGATTTATTGTATGAGTAGCTCTTTCTAAAAAAATTGACCTATCAAAATGTATGCGCCAAAGAAAACGCCCGCCTGTATTGTGTTGTACAATTTCTAAATTATTACGTTGAAAGATATCCTGGAAATTGTTAAGCAGCTTTGTTTTTATGATGTAATTAAATATCAGTGCTTAAAATTATTATCCTATTACCAAAGAATTTGAAAAAAACTAATAAATATTTGAATTATCTTTGTTATTTTTTTTGTCAATTACAGTGTGACTTACAACTTGCATGATTATACAGAAGAGTAAGTTCCAACTAATATAGCGCATGGTAAATCTTAGCTTACTCAGAATAGACCTATTAAATACAGACTAATCGAAAGTTTAATAAATTAGTCTTGTTCAAAAGGTTGAAAGTCTGAATTATAAGTCTACTGGTCTACTAGGCCTGCAGTCTCGTCAGAGTTTGCGATGGTAAACTTAATTTGGTATCTATAGCGATCGTATTATAACGATTATCGCGAATCTTTTATTGAGTGCGATTATTATATTAGCGATCGAATTTGACAGTTCGATCAGTGAACTTTGCGATCGTTACATAACGATCGCTATAAATTTACGGCGGGACTACAGTCTTCATAGAGTTCATATTTTACCGAAGTCGGTCGGAAATGTTAAAGATATTAAAATATATTGCAGACAACGAGTACCCATAATCACTTAATACAATAACAACAACGTGGGTTACAAAGTAAATAACAGCTTGTAAACAGAGTTTTACAAAATTCCAATAGCTTATGTGAAGTAAAGATAGGATAAATAAAATGAAAAGTTAATCATTGTTACATAAACATTTTAGATTTGATGCTAGTTGAGATATTGCAAAACAATGAGTATTTAAAAAATAAAAAATAATTCTTGAAATCATACTAGATGTCACTCGCGATGTTTGGATGTTGTTTATCTTAACACAAGAAATAAAAATAAACTTGCCGTTCCAAGCTTCAGACTTCAAAAATCCAGAGGATCATTTCTGGGTAAATGTATTGCTATGTTCAATAAAGTTCCACAAAATGTAATTGACCTACCCATAAATAAATTTCAAATTCATGTAAAGAATATACTTATGAGTAAAGGCTATTATAAAGTTGATGATTATTTTAAGGATCGCAATGCATGGAATTAATAGCCTTCGCTTTGTTCTATAAAGATTAATTATATGTTCAACCTATGTCCTACAGACTTTGAAAGTTGTATTTATTATTGTGATAATACATATTATTTTGGTAATGACATGATTTATGTAAATGTCATTACTTATGATAAAGGGCTGGTAAGTTTCTTTCGCTTGTTATTCTTGTCAGCTAAAAGACGTCCTGAACAAGTGGTAGGGGAAAATAAAAAATTTTTGGACGATTCAAAAGTGCTTGTAATAGCCTACTTGAATAAAAGATATTTTCATTTCATTTCATTCATTCAAATTTTGTTTCTGACGTAAAAGAAAGTGAATTAAATCTACAACTTTCAAATTAATTTTAATCGTAAGTTTAAGTTGTTTATTATGTTACGTGTAAAGGAACGATGTTTGGTTTATACATCAACATTATAAGGTTTGGAATTAAGAACAAAAAGCGGAGCGCAGAATTCAGCTTTTATTTGTGTATGACATTATGCATTCACAAAACTAATGATATTAATATAAATATCAAAATCAATTCAATCTAGGCTGTTAGATATGTTATTGTGAAAGTCGAAAACTTTGCCAATGGTTCGCAAAACTAAGGCGGGAGATCTCGTACTGACGTGAATCATCAAGAAACTCAGCGAGGGCTGCTTCTTTAATTTCAACTATACTATATTCGAGGTTATTGGGAGAGATTTTAAGAGAGCATTACTACTCTAGGTCCTTACTAAATAACATATTTTAATAAAACTGATTTCTAGAGTAGGTCGTGTAGGAAGTCAATCTATTATTAACAATATTATTGTAAGAACCAAAAAGCACACCCACCGTACGAATTAACACATGGCTCGACGTCTGCAGTCGATATGCAAAATAAATAGCAATAATTTTTATTCCTTGAATTCAGTGATTTCAGTGAAATAGTAATTTTTACATTTGAATGGAATAAGGTTTATTAAAACTGAATAGATCAAACGTAACATTTCTTCAAATAAAATCTCCGTTTCACCAGCCATGTCTTCACCACTGGAAAACTTAGAGACGCAACTTGAAATGTTTATAGAAAATGTTAGACAAATTCGTATTATCGTTAGTGATTTTCAGCCACAAGGACAAAGTGTCCTAAACCAAAAAATGTATGTAAAACATTGTTGACATGACGATATTATAGGGTTTAGTAATCAAATAATATCAACATTTTTTTCATTTCACAGACAATCATTAGTAACAGGACTGCAAGAAGTAGATAAGTTAAAGTCTCAAGTTCACGATATTCATGTACCAACTGAGGTTTTTGAGTAAGTATGAAGTATGAAATAAAATATTTTACATTAACACCTAATTTGTCTTGACATATGATAAATAAATTTATTTGGATCCATGATATTAGTTGCATTTTGTTCAAAGTTCTATTGCAATAATATTGTTGCCTTTTTCTTCATATCTCTGTTGCAATCGTCTATTAAAATTTTGCAATGTTACTGTTTAATTTTCAGCTATATTGACCAAGGGCGGAATCCACAGCTTTACACAAAGGATTGTATAGATAAAGCACTTGCTAAAAATGAAGAAGTAAAAGGAAAAATTGACTCTTATAAACGATTCAAGAGCCACCTCCTTCAAGAGCTCTCAAAAACATTTCCTAATGAGATTGCCAAATATAAAGCTATTAGAGAGTAATTTTTGTATTGATAATTTAGTTATTAGGATTAAGTTACCGTGAACTCAAGATAATTTATAAATAACATGTAACTATTAATATTGTTTTGCATGAATTTCGTAACAATATTTTAGATTTAAATAGGGATTTTTTATGAACAACATATAATAAAATACCAATTACATATTAGATTTTATTATACAAACCTGGTTTAAATATTAAAGAAAATTCTAATATTTTACATAGCTGACAGTATAAACATCTTTTTTTACTTTAAAGTATAAAAGTATAGAATAAGACAGAATAATATTGAAAATACAATTGATGAAACATCAAATGAAAGAAATGCTTTTCTCAAAAAAGCAGTTTCAAATAGAAAATAAACCTGAAATGGAAGATAATAGCAATATTGTTAATAGATGAATAAATCATTACTAGAGTAAAATCTTTACGAAGGCAAGACCAGCTACACCTTGATATATAAAAATAATGTTTGATTAAAAATGATTTCATTGAATTGCTAATTCATTGAAGTCTACACTATAAAATGATTGTTATTATTATAAAATATTGAGCATGTTATTATTTGAAAACATTTGTAACAATTTAATTAAGATTTTTACATTATTCATTTATATTTTATGACATTATAATATTAATAATTCCGGAGTCGGTGTCCGTTTAAGCTTTTCTGTTTCAAAATGATCAATATATTCAAAGCTCTCCTGGTAAAGATTGACTGTTTCATTACTATCATTTTGCTTATCAGATATTGTAGCAGATGATGTCTCACTGGAGGATTCACTCCACATTTGGTAAAAGTTTGTTTTAACTGGTTCCACAAGCTGAGTATTGTTAGTTATAAAAACATAATTCCAATGATCTGATGACCGATCATTTCCCCAATTTAGAGTTCCTGTCATAAGTACTTCATCGTCGACTAGGCAAAATTTGTGTTGCATTTTATTGACAGATTCTTTTTCTAGGCTTCTAATTTCTGCTCCTGTAATAATAAATTTATTAAAAATGAATTGAATTGGGGAATTAATTCTAATAGTTATTCAAAGCATTTTAAACCCGTAATGAAGTGATTAATAAAGTTCAAAATCACATACCAACATCCTTGAGCTCTTGCAATAAGAAATCTGTGGACTCATTGTAACCTGCATGGTCTAATATAATGCGTGCCTTGATATTTTTCTTCTTTATGAGCTCGACCAATCTTCCTTGGATAGCAGGGTTATGGATGCCTGGCATACACACATGGACGCTGTTCTTCGCGGCCTCTATAAAACTGACTAGTTTATCGAAGCATTTATGTGCATTGTATTGTAATTTGCAAAATATCATTACTTCGTTTATCTCAGTGTTCCGATGCTTATAGTAGTATGCTGCTGCAGAAACTACACAAGTGATAGCTAATGCCGCAGCTGTCGACACGATACGTGGATTTATCAACATTTTAAGTAATTTGAAACATATATATGAGTGTTTTGCACTTTCACTGTACCGTCTTTAAATTTTATAGATTGAAATAAAATAAAGAGGTCAATCTGTGGAATGACTACTTGCCTAACTTAGATATTTTACATCTACCCTACATTTTAAATCTGTTATATTAATTATAATATACGGGTTTTATTATGAAATTTAAATATAAATATATGTCATAATGGGAAAATAATTACATAAATTTTGATATTGGTTAGATTCCATACGAGTAAATTTTTTACAGATGGTATTCCCTATGTAAATACCCATTAGTATTTTGTTTGTGATAGATAACCTAGGTTAGAATAAAAAAAAAACCGTTGGCACACCAAACGACATAAATAAAATCTTTAATTATTTAAAGACTAACACTTACTATACACTGTAATCTTTGAGATAAAGTTATTCATAAAAATGAACTACCGTAGATACAAATCTCGTTAAATCACGGATGAAACGACCTTTGTAAATACGTTTCAAGATAAGAAAATGGCGGGAATGTTGACAGTCAGCTGTTTTGACATCAATTGTATTTCACTGTGTTGGTATTGTTTGATTGATTTTCTCTGCAATTATGTATGAAATCATGTTCTGGACAATAGCATAAAGTCGTTATAGAATAGTATATGTTTAGAAATTTTATTGATACGTTTTTTTATGAAGTAATTATGGGTATTACGGGTTTGATACCATTCCTCGAAAAAGCTTCTAGGCGTGCTAATGTTGGTGAATTTAGTGGATGCACGGTAGCTATAGACTCATATTGTTGGCTTCACAAAGGAGCATTTGCGTGTGCCGATAAACTTGTAAGAGGAGAACAAACAGATGTGTAAGTTTCACCTCAGGTTTAATTTCCTGTAAAGCAATGTCACTATATTTATTATTATTTACTTTCATCATTATTCATTTTATATTTTCAGTCACATAAAATATTGCTTAAAGTATGTTGCGATGTTATTATCTAAAAACATCAAACCCATATTGGTGTTTGATGGCAGACATCTCCCAGCAAAGGCACTGACTGAATCAAAACGTAGAGAGTAAGTATACCTACCAAATTTAGAAATAGTGATAATTTTTTTCCCTTTGATGGTTGTTGTAATGACAATTGATGCCATTTTCAGATCTAGAGACATATCTAAGAAAAGGGCTGCTGAATTATTAAGTCTTGGAAAGGTACACATTGCCCTATGCCTTTATGTCTGCTTGTATTTCTTTCTTTTTAGTATAATTACAAACTGTTAATAATACTTTCAGATAGATGAAGCAAGATCTTACATGAGACGAAGTGTGGATATCACCCATGCAATGGCTTTAGCTCTAATTAAGGAATGTAGAAACCGGAATGTGGACTGTATTGTGGCACCATATGAAGCTGACGCACAGCTGGCTTATCTAAATATGAATAATATAGCACATGTTGTTATTACTGAAGATTCGGATCTCATTTTATTTGGTTGTACAAAGGTGAGCTATTTCTTTTTCTTAGTTGAGCACTCTTTGTGAGAGTGGGTGTGGTTGTTTTGAAGTCAAGTTCTGTGACATCATTGTCTTTGCTATACAGCACTTCATGGTGGCATATTGCAGAGACAATGGCATATTTTTATATTAATATTTTATTCTAAAAGTATTATATTATTTATAAGAGGTGTTCCCCTGACATTGCCATACAGATAATAGCTTCCTGTAGTTGATAGATATTTAAAATCAGCTCTATTTTTTGAGTCTATTCAATGCAAATGAATAATCAAATCTTTTCATTTGATTATATTAGATAATTTATTGTAAGAATAAAATATATTATAGATTTCAATTACTAGGGAAATATATATGTAATTGTTCACTTTTTTATCAACCTCATGAATGAAGAAGGATCATCACTTGTCACCCAAATTTTACAAATATTGCAAGTCTTTCTTTCGAAATATTGCAAGAATTTCTATCTATTTTGAACTTAATTGTTTTTGTATTAAGGCTTAAAATTATGAGAAAAGTACCCGAATTACTGTATAATAATGTCCTATGTAAATTACATATGGAATACAGTAAATAAATTACATTCTAATTATTTACAGGTGCTTTTTAAAATGGATCTGGATGGCACAGGAACTCTAGTAGAAACTGCAAAACTTCCATTGGTCATGAAATGTCCAATAGAGTACTACAAATTTGATAAATTCAGAAGGATGTGTATCATGTCTGGGTGCGACTACTTACAATCATTGCCAGGCATCGGCTTAGCAAAAGCCAGACAGTTTGTGAATGCATCACAGGACTCTAATTTTGCTAATGTAAATGTTTACTTAATATGTCTACTAAAAATCCTTTCAAGCATGCAAATATAATATTGGTAAAGTTTGGAGAAATTCAATTGAAAGAATGCTTATTTTTATTTATTAATTTACCGAAAAACAACTCTGATTTAAATCAACATTAGGTTGATTAATTTGTACAAATGCTGAAATGGCTGCTGCTTGATCAGTAGTTATTTATAATCAGTAGCCTAAAAATGAAGTGTTATAATTCTAACTTCAAAATGCAGACTTCCATAAAAGTGACTACTTCACAAAATGTTACTGTCTTAAGATCATGGCTACAAATTCAATAGTTAGTATCTTGGCAATGATGAATCACTTAGAAGAGAAGTTCTTTTATAAGCTTGAAAGAAATACAAAATCTGTCTGACACATATATTTTGTAAAAATTCTTCCTGAATACCTTATTAGTGAAGATTACAGTAAATCGAAATTCCTAGTGCCTAACACTAGCCTTATCTATGTGAAACAAAGTAGCATATCAACGGTGGGTATCACCACAGTATAAATTAACAGTTGTACAACGCATTTGGAAATGAGCTAAATACCATTTTTGTTTACACATTCCTCATTGTCTTAGAATTGATATGTTTTTATTCTTAATTAGCTCTTCTATGAATTACCCAGCATCGAGTTTCAGGTTGCAACGCTGTGTTTAATATAAAATTATTTTTTTATTATCTTCTTCAATGAAAGTCAATTCAGTCCTTTCCTTCAATTAAATTATTATATATTTTATTTTAATAATAAAATTTAAGTCATGAATAGTCTATCAGTATGATAGATCTGATCTGCAGACAGTTTATCCGTTCATAAGTTGGCTTATTAAATGTTTATAAAATCTGTATTTTATGTTTAGGCATTAAAGAAATTGCCGAGTTTCTTCAATCGTTCCTCATTGATTGTCACTGATGAGTATAGAGAGAATTTTCTTAAAGCAGAAGCTACTTTTAAGCATCAATATGTTTACGATCCATTAGAACGGAAGATGGTTAGACTTACGGAGCCCGATGACGAAGGTAATTCAATCATTTTTGACATCTAATAGTATTTTTTAAGCATTTTTCAGTATATTGCAAAATTGATCAAATATAAATAATCTATTATAATAAAATAGATCTATAAAATAATCTATTATAATAAATAATCTATTATAATAATATAAATAATCTATTATAATATAATAAAATAGAACAAAATAATCTAATAGTATTTAACGACTCTTACAAATTAAAATGATACTTGTGTCGAAACTATATTTCACCCGCATCACGTCCCGCCGTTGTCATATGAGCATACTCATACTGATAGCATAAGTGTTACGTGTCTGCGATTTCGGTATTTAGAGATCTTATTTGCTGTTTAAGTTCGGCGTTTTTTGATTTGTTGAACTTTTCTCATGAAAATTATTAAAACTTATCATATTACTTTTTTTTTTATATAATATTACTTTTACCACATTATACCTGGTTCATGATGGGTGTTTACGTTAGAAGGCAGCGTTGTGGGCAGGCGTTGGCCCCGTAACGGCTTAACCTGCCTTCAAAATCATAGCAAAGTTCGAGATAGTAACCGTTCTTATCCTAGCCATAGCTTAAAACGTTATAAACAAGCGTAGGATGAAAGAATTTTTGAAAATGTTGAAGCAGTTTCGGTGCCTGTTTAATGCAAACAAACCAACAATCATACCTCTTTATAACATTTATATATATTATTTAATGTTTAGATGTGGAGCAAGCATTATGCGTGAACGCGGGGGAATTGTTATCGGACGACGTCGCCTTCCAGTTGGCGCTCGGGAATCTGGATCCCTTTTCTCTGAGGAAAATGGACGACTGGCATCCAGACACATCTGTTACGGTATTCATTTAGAAAATAATATGATGTACACATCTCAGAACAATCGATTCTGATTGATTCGATATATTCACAGGTCTTGCGGATCTACCGCCTAAAATCGTGATTGATCTGTAAAAATAATCTATCATTCTGGCAGATCATTCGGTGTGTCATATTGTTTTTTTTTTACGTGATTTATATCTTTAATAAAGAATGCTCAACAAATTCGGTTCCAAATATCCCAGAGTAGAACTTAAACCTACAACCTTTCGTAAATAGAGCGACTTCCCTAAAAATTGCCTGGAAGAATTTGCTTTTCAGTAACAAGAGTGCTGAGTTTCCTTATATTAAGTTTTCCTGTACTACATATAGAGGCTATTCTAAATCAACTTTAATTAGCTCGGTAATTTAGCCCGAAATTTTTATCATAATTAACTAATAGCTCAAGTGCACTAAATTCTTCAATTTATCTCTTTCGAGCTATATGGAAACATTTAAAGTCTATTATTTGTTATTGACTACTTAACTGTTTTGGGGAAAGTATTTTTTAAACTTTCATATGGTTATGTTAAATAACTACCAGATTTTCTCTCTAAACAGTGGTATTAAATATAGGAAAAATATATTTTTATTCATAAATGTAAATTGTTTCGCGAAATCAATCAATTACGTGACATTTTGAGCTGTGACGTCACATTTCAATAAACACTACTAATGGTTGAACTTGTAACAAAGACACTGACGTTTAGTTTATTGCTATGTGACGTTACACGATGCTCCGTCATGGCCGCCCGCGTAACTTTTCCTGTAATTCATAGGTCAAAAATCGTCAGTTAATTGCGCAAAAATAAAATATACTTACAATTCATGAATTCATTCAACATGGTACACAATAAAGAATATTTCATTCATTCAACAGTAACTTATATTCCAGGACTTTAAAATGAAAACGACAGGATGGAAAGACAAAGGTGTGGCCCCCCATCCTAGTATTTGGCGCGGTAATTATACCCGTTACTTAACAGACCCCATGCCTTGGGCTAAGAAGGAAGTTAAGTTGGAGTCGATAATAGCTGCTCCCACCACGAGAGCTAGGAGGAAAGTGATTAATTTAGTACAGAAATATGTACCAGAAACACAGGACGAAAGGTATGTCTCAATATTTATAAAAAAAAATTGCGTGAAATGTATTTTTCGTATAATACTAGTTTTTCCGTGACTTTACCCATGTAAATTATAGCCTATGTGACCCGCGTTTGATGTACCCCTTTATAAGACTTAATATAGATTAGACAACATGGGCGTAATCAGGTTTATGACTGTATTGGGGCAGGAAGGAGTGAGGGGGGGAGTGGGCTAAAATATGATAACTAACATTATTCGTATTATAGACTATCTGAATCCTTACGCAACCTTATGAAACGAAAGAACCGAAAGCTATATATAATCTACAAAATTTCAGTTTTATTTTGTGATAATATCTACAACAAACAACTGATTGTCTATATCTCACTAATTATAATATCAACAATATAACATTTGATTTAAATTTCAGTTTGACAATAGAGAGTTTAAGCAGTATGTATTGTGTGGAGCCAGCAATGAAAAAGCAGAAAATGAGCTGTGATACTAGTCTAAGCGAAACATATAGTGAGACTACTCAAGATACTCACAATATGGCGGTAGATGAAGACGAAATAGTACAAGAGTTGTCAACAATTCAACCAAATAAATCACCTATATTAGAAAACAAAGAGAGATCATATAAGAAATGTTTAAATAATTTAACGGTACTTAAGAGTTTGAGTAGGTTTCCTAGAACTGTGCTCGGTGATAATGTAGTTGAAAGTAAATTTTTCAATGCAACAGATGAGAGATCTGATGAAATGGATGTATCGAGAACTAGTGTAATAATAGAAGAATCTCCAGAAAAGTGTAGTAGGAATCCGTTCAAAGTGAAATCTCCGGATGCATGTCAACCTTTAGAAATTAACACTCAGTGTTGTGAAATACCAAATTCTCAATCAAGCATTAATTCGGAGAAGGAGAATTCACCGATGAACTCACCTGTGGAAAGAGAACAGAGCCCTATATTGGAGCCCAGTCCGAGGAGCAAGAATCCGTTCAAGTTAAGATCTGACGAGATGCTAGTCGATAAATATAGTGAAGACTCTGTGATAGATAACACATATCCTCTAGAGGGTTTGGTGACGCCGATGGATTCACAGGTAAAAGCAATGGATTTTAGGGTCGGTTCATGTTATATATTTTCTGAGAAAATATACGATTACATGAGATGCTTGACCAATCTTTCGTCAAATTTGTCATATCTCAATTTTTTTGCATCAAGTTTCTCATATCAAACTACTCGTATTTCAACAACCAAATTAGGTAAATCCTATTTAAAATAGCGGTATCTTAAAAAGAAACATTTTTATTTTTACAATAAGCAATCAATAAAAAATAAGTTTTGAACTACAGCTTTTTAGCGTAATATAAGGGCAGAAATGACAGCTGAAATAGGGATGATGACTAATTTTTGTTTGTTTGTCCGTCAGGTAGAGTGTTAAAAAATATTAAACAAGTATTTTTTATTTTTTTCGTAATCATAAAATTGCGGCGTTACATTGAGTTGAAATTTCGCATGACGTCACGTTATGGTACGTTTTCTACTCAACTATGGCGTAGCGAGCCCCCACTCCTCAACTTTAATGCCTGTTATCTAAGCTATTTCTTGTTAAATTGAAGTAAAACAAAATACGTATCTAATATTTTTCTATTATCTGACTGACGGACTAAATAGAATTACATTTTTTTTACCCAGTCATCATCCCTATTATATGGCAGCTATTCATGACAGTTGCAAAAATACGATTAATGATTTCTATAACATGTTAACAGTTGGAACTTTTGAATATTGTATGTGTGTAGTGTTATTGATTGAGTGTGTTGTTGAAGTGGTTGTATTGACTTATAATTTTTTTTACCCTCAAAATAATAATAACGTCTAACTCTATAACGTGACCATAAAAGGTGTACCCTTTTATGGTCACGTTATAGAGTTAGACAAATTTTTAATAGTAACGGCACTTAACTTTAAGATAAATTATCATAAATTTGCATTCGATTTTGAACTTAATATATAGTGATATAAGGTTTAAAATAAATTAAATAATATTTAGTTTACTGTAGATTTATAATCTGTTCGTAGGTATCATACGGTGAATCCCCACCCAAAGAGAAGTATTCAAGTGGTAGCCAATCGCAGTCTATACTGAGTGACTTGAAGCAGTCTTCGAATATTAATGGGGTCAAGAGATCTAATTATAAACAGCTAGCATTAAAGAAAAGTGTTTCTTTGCCAAGCAACCAACCGACACTGCTCAGCAAGTTTGGCTTCCAAAAGAAGTAAGTATAAAATTATTTAGGGCTGTGCAACAATAATAAGTCTTTTAGGGAATGTTTTTGTTATTTCATTTCTTGTTTGGGGGCATGGAAGTGCTTCCGCTAGTGTCCGACCGAATGTTCGATTTCGGTCGAGTTTCGGTTTCAGTGGCAAACCTACCGAAACCACGACCGAACTCGAAACTACATTCTCGCGCTGTGATTAATCATTTTTTTTTATAGAAGTATTGAACACAATGTTGAATTTAGTTTAAAGTTAATTTGTTTTTAAGATAAAACATTATTTAATTAGTAAGTGCTTATTGTGATATTAGATAACTATTTAAAAAAGTTATTTTACTTATTCATATTTAAAAAAAAAACATGAATGGATAGATTCCACTTTTTAATGTGCCACTCGATGCCAACAATTTGTCATTTAACAATCCAATACATAGAATATGCCGTGACTTTAACGAACTTCATAAAAATAATGATAATTTAGCAGTACTTGACATCTACAGTTCGTCTTTAAACGTTTTTAGGAATGGAATATGTAAATTAAAAATGGGATAGATATTGTATTTTATTGTTTAATTTATTGATTTTAATTATAATTACATATATTCATTATGAAATTAGGAAAGTTAATAATTTTATTTATTTATTTTTTAATTATGCATGAATTTTGAACCCACTCAAAATTATGTTTGCCTTGATTTTGTCTCATGATGTTGTGTACACATGTCATTGGAAGTTCAACTTGACATGCTGCATTGTTACGTGATGACTTATCTATTGATGTAATTGTATTTCTGTTTGTGTACCGAATAAATAAAAAAAAAATAAAAAAAAATTCTATGTAACTGCTCAAATAAACAATAACACCTCATCTATTTTTAGTACTTTTAAGGCACAATTATTTGTTCCTTTAATGAGGGGATTGAGGGGTTGTTAAGTATGTTATCATTATGAAAATGGCTAAGCCTGGATAGATTTGTGATTTGATAATAAAATAAAGACGGACTGATTATTGAAACGTTTTCTTTATTTTTTCTTCAAATCTTTGCAAGTTTCGATTTCGGTTTCCGTCGAAACTGAGACCGTTGCCGAAATTCGGTTTCGGTCGGAAAAACCAGAAGGCCTACTCTGTTTCTCCGAAAACGAAAATTAGTCTATTTTCGAAACCTTAATACGACCCCAAAGAAACACATTTTTCGATAGTTAATGATGGAACGGAGGTAAGACATTGCTTCTCATGCACAGATAATATTTAAAAATATGATTAAAAAAAAAAATGTAAGGCCGATTCGAAATTTTTGTAATTTTCGTTGGTACATAAACATACTAGCCCCTCAGTTTCGGTCGGACACTAGCTCCCGTTAAATTCACCAGATTCCTAATCTATTATATATCGTAATATATCGTAAATCTAAGGCAAGGTTTGGTAGCTGCTCTCACAGAAAGATGGGTACTGAATTAATCGACTTGGTTTACGTTGATTTCATAACTTTTTACGGCTTTTTATAACGAAGAGTTTTGAAGCGATTTGTGCATTTTTATATTATGTTATGTTTTGGTGATATTATTATTTCTATCAGTTTTTTTTTGGTTATTTCTATTACACCTTAAATGGCTATTTAACTTTAAGATGTAATAAGACTAAGGGGCTCCTTAGTCTTTTCCCCCATAAAATAGGATTGGCAGTCATATTTTTTGTATAGTCTAAGAGATCGCGAAAAAAGTGCAATACCTGCCTAAAGCATGATATTTAATATGTGATTTATATGTATATTATATATAATACTTGAGTATTTAAAAGTACTTTAAATTCTTTTTAGGTTCACGATTAAGTTTAGGGCGTAAATAATTCGCTTACCATTACTATTAGTAAATATTACTAGCAAATTGTTTTCGTTATGTTTTCCTTAATATAGTTCTTTTTAGTGGGATCTTTAATTTTAATTCAAATATATTATTGAATTTTTGTTCCAGACCAATATTGAAGAGGTGATAAATTAAATTGTGAAGCCATAGTATTTATCATTGACAGTTGCTTAGGTTTTAAGTAAGAATTAACATATATTATTGTGTAATAAAAAGAGTTCCAAGTCTTTTGTTTTGTTGATTAATGAATAATTTCTATAATGTGTAAAATAAATTATGTGAAAAAAAAAATAGATTTTTTATTTTATCTCACATTATTATAAAAATCGGTAAGTTTTTTAATATCGAACCACAACTTGGAAATATAGGCTGATAATGACGTTTGGTTGTGTCGTGACTCCTTGTGTTATAGCGCGTGAACAAGCTCTTGCAGTGCTATTAATAAAAAGTTTTAGCGTCAGAGTAAAAAGTTTTAGCGTCAGAGTAAATTTACGCTAAAATTGCAATTTTAGCATCAGTTTGTCATATTGTATAGAGAATAAGCAAAGCTACTACCTATTAGGAGCAAATAATATTCCAGTAAAACTTCGTACTAGGTAGCCCTTTGCTTAGTCTCCGTTTAATATCCCGCCGTAGTTTTACGAACCGATGGCGTAGTTTTCGCCTTTCACAAGTGCTCTGTAAAAGCCTAAACTGAATAAATAAATTTTGATTTGATTTGAATAATATAAATTTCGACTAGTACTTAGTGCAGTCTCAGCGTAAATTTACTCTAACGCTAAACCTAATTTATTAGTAACATTGTTTGGGTTTAATTTATAGCAATGAAAGAAGTAGATAGAAGGCGATAGGGAATATTTTTTAGTTTTATTACGATTATTGTAAAAGTAATGTATTTCCTGGGCTAAGTGATTCTCCTATTAATCTAAAAAAAAATTGCTAAATTTTTTTTTAGACCGAGAGCTCCGTACGAACCTGTAGGTGTTTATAAAAAAATAATTTTATTATATAATGTAACTAAAAGTTTAACGTTTTCGCACTATTTCCTTTGTCTGTGCAATAAGACGTTGCTTCGTGCCAAATTTCAAGATTCTAAGGTCACGGGAAGTACCCCGTAGGTTTTAATTTTCTTACGAGTTTCAAAAATTTACGGAAGTTCTGAGACGGTAGAACTGAGTATTTGATATAAATTTCACCTCCTCGCGTATCTGAGAAAAAGGGTCCTCACAGACAACAAAGTGATCCTATAAGGGTTCCGTTTTTCCTTTCGAATTATGGAACTCCAAAAAAGGGAAGCCTTAAATTAACTTCTTAAATTTGTCACCCGAATTATTTTAAGTCTTTTTTTTACTTATTACGTCTTACATTTGTATAATTTAAATGTCGTGTACATTTTTGACGCGAACACGGCTGCACTGATTTTACATTTCGCATCACAAAACCAATTATGAAACAATTGCGAATGATTAAAATCCGGGCTCAAAAGAACTTTGCGGAAAATTGCGCTAAAACAAATCCCAGGGCGCTGTGCCCCTCGCACTGTTTCAAAAAAAAGAATATAGCGACCTTAATATTCTAATTTTATGTTAGCGACAGACAAAAGTTTTCTTTTATTCTATGTATTTTAAAAATTTAAGACCTTTGTAGATTAGAGACCTATAATTAAACAATTCATATCTGTAGATCTATACTATGTTTCTTCGAAAACGAAATTATGTCTGTTTTCGAAACTAATCAAAACGCTGCTATGACTCTAAAAAAAAAAAATTATATAACTACACAAATACTATTTGAATAAAATTATAACGAATCGGAATTTTCGTTCGAAGATAACAGAGTCACCCTGTGTGATTGTATATAGATAAACACACTGAGCCCGTTCCTGTCGATTAGATAATGATTCTGAATAAAATAATAAATAAATATATGTAGTTAACACCACATACCCATAAATAAATTTCAAATTCATGTAAAGAATATACTTATGAGTAAAGGCTATTATAAAGTTAATGATTATTTTAAGGACCGCAATGCATGGAATTAATAGCCTTCGCTCTGTTCTATAACGATTAATTATAGATATGTACCAACCTATGTCCTACAGACTTTGAAACTTGTATTTATTATTGTTCAATATATGTATTATTTTGGTAATGACATGATTTATGCAAATGTCATTACTTATGATAAAAAGCTGGTAAGTTACTTTCGTCCTGAACAAGTGGTAGGGGAAAAAATATTTTTGGACGATTCAAAAGTGCTTGTAACGAGCTTACGTGGATAAAACATTTTCATTTCATACATTGCTGTGATCCGAAGATAAGTGGTAAAATCATCGTAGTATTGAGTATCTGAAAGGAAGGAGGTGCCATTACACCTAGATACGAGACAATTAGTTCGTTTCCAAATTGTTCCTACTGGAAATCGAACTCGACATCTCAGAGATGGCGATATCTCTAAAACAGCGTGCGAGCTATTTAGCTGATTACGGAGGTAACGTTCTCAAAATTAGTACTTTCAGTGAGGACTTAAAACTATTTTAATTTTATGCATTATGCGTATTAAGGTAGCTTAGTTATAGTTTTAAGTAATTGCTATTACCGTCTTATAAAATTAAAAAAGAAGGCGCTGATGTTTTTTTAAATCCATCATAAGAATTTAGCTTACTTTTAGTTTCAAATGTGTAATTGTTATTATTATCTTATAAATATACGAAAGCAGCCTCTAATACTATTTTTAAAATAAAACGTTTTCGCTTAGTCTTTCTCTATTAAAAAATCACGTCCGCCATAAGCTGGCTGCCGTTATCGAAGAAAAAAAACTTCATAAATCCTTTTTGTTTCACATTCCATTAACAAATTCATATTTCAATAATGAAAACAATCCAATTCCATAATATGTTTGACATAACACGGAGGTCGAGCAAATACCTACATACAAAACAATACGAATGTCATAATAAAAAGCAAACAATTGAGATCAACCTCATACAATAGGTACACACAGAGTACAGAATAAATTAGTAATGTTAATAACCACGTGATTGTGTACAGAGGGCTATTCAAAATTCATCTGATAGCGAAAACGTCCTATTTATAATGCCTTTTTAACAAGGGTAGCCGCATTCTTTGAGGAAGGAGT